GCCACAAACCGATCAGCCAGTCACAAACCAATCAGCCAGCCAGCCACAAACCGATCAGCCAGTCACAAACATATCAGCCACCCAGCCAGCCACAAACCGATCAGCCAGCCACAAACCGATCAGCCAGTCACAAACAGCCACAAACCGATCAGCCAGTCAGTCAGTCACAAACCGATCAGTGACAAACCGATCAGCCATCCTGTCAGCCAGCCAGACAGCCAGTCACAAACCGATCAGTCACAAACCGATCATCCATCCTGTCAGCCAGCCAGTCAGCCAGTCACAAACCGATCAGTTGCAAACCGATCAGCCAGCCACAACCCGATCAGTCACAAACTGATCAACCAGCTACAAACCGATCAGCCAGCCAGCCAGCCACAAACCTATCAGCCAGCCAGCCAGCCACAAACCGATCAGCCATCCTGTCAGCCAGCCAGTCAGTCAGTCACAAACAGATCAGTCACAAACCGATCAGCCATCCTGTCAGCCAGCCAGCCAGCCAGCCACAAACCGATCAGTCACAAACCGATCAGCCATCCTGTTAGCCAGCCAGTCAGCCAGTCACAAACCGATCAGCCAGTCAGTCAGTCACAAACCGATCAGTCAGTCAGTCACAAACCGATCAGTCACAAACCAATCAGCCATCCTGTCAGCCAGCCAGCCAGCCACAAACCGATCAGTCACAAACCGATCAGCCAGTCAGTCAGTCAGTCACAAACCGATCAGCCAGTCAGTCAGTCAGCCACAAACCGATCAGTCAGTCAGTCACAAACCAGTCAGTCAGTCAGTCACAAACCGATCAGTCAGTCAGTCACAAACAGATCAGCCAGTCAGTCAGTCAGTCACAAACAGATCAGCCAGTCAGTCAGTCAGTCAGTCACAAACCGGTCAGCCAGTCAGTCAGTCACAAACCGATCAGCCAGTCAGTCAGTCAGTCACAAACCGATCAGCCAGTCAGTCAGTCAGTCAGTCACAAACCGATCAGCCAGTCAGTCAGTCAGTCAGTCACAAACCAATCAGTCAGTCAGTCAGTCAGTCAGTCACAAACCGATCAGCCAGTCAGTCAGTCACAAACCGATCAGCCAGTCAGTCAGTCACAAACCGATCAGCCAGTCAGTCAGTCACAAACCGATCAGCCAGTCAGTCAGTCACAAACCGATCAGCCTGTCAGTCAGTCAGTCACAACCCGATCAGCCAGTCAGTCACAAACCGATCAGTCACAAACTGATCAGCCAGCCAGCCACAAACCGATCAGCCAGCCACAAACCAATCAGTCACAAACCGATCAGCCAGCCACAAACCAATCAGTCACAAACTGATCAGCCAGCCACAAACCGATCAGCCAGTCAGTCAGTCACAAACCGACCAGTCACAAACCAATCAGCCAGTCAGTTACAAACTGATCAGCAAGTCAGTCACAAACCGATCAGCCAGTCAGTCACAAACCGATCAGCCAGTCAGTCACAAACCGATCAGTCAGTCAGTCACAAACCGATCAGTCAGTCAGTCACAAACCGATCAGTCAGTCAGTCACAAACCGATCAGCCAGTCAGTCACAAACCGATCAGCCAGTCAGTCACAAACCGATCAGCCAGTCTGTCACAAACTGATCAGCCAGTCTGTCTGTCTGTCTGTCACAAACTGATCAGTCAGTCAGTCAGTCTGTCTGTCTGTCTGTCTGTCTGTCACAAACTGATCAGCCAGTCTGTCAGATCTTTTACAAGTGGGCAGACCCTTTCAGCCCTGCTCAAGCTGATGGGTGTGTAAGAGAATTGAGAGTGATTAGTTTGAGGTCAAAGCGAGGGTTAAACAGAGGGGAACGCTTTTGTAAGATGTTTTTTATTTATGTTTATGTATTTAGCAGACGCTTTTGTCCAAAGCGACTTACAAGTGATAATCGGCATGTTGCCCTTGAGGCTAACAACAACAACAAACAATTTCCAGTCAGTCGTAGGTGGCAGTGAGGCATCATGATGAATCATGGAGAGTAGGGAACAAGGAGTGGACAGTAGAGAGGGGGACGGGTGCAGGTAGGGAGCTGGTTTAGAAGATGCTCTCTGAAGAGCAGGGTCTTCAGGAGTTTCTTGACAGTCGAAAAGGAAGCCCCTGTTCTTGTAGTGCTTGGTAGGTCATTCTGCATTTGTGGAACGATGCATGAGAAGAGTCTGGATTTTCCTGAGCATGGTGTAGGCACTGTTAGCCGACGATCCTGTGATGACCGGAGCGGCCGGGCCGAGACGTAAGCCTTTGCAAGAGGATTCAGGTAGACGGGAGCCGTACCATCTCGGACTTTGTATGCTAGTGTTAGCTATTTGAATTTGATGCGGGCAGCTAGCGGTAGCCAGTGGAGCTCAATGAACACAGGGGTGATGTGTGCTCTTGTTGGCTGATTGAAGACCAGATGCGCCGCTGCGTTCCGAACCATTTGAAGAGGTCTCACAGTACAGGCTGGAAGACCAGTTAGAAGGGCATTGCCGTAATCGAGGCGGGAGATAACAGTAGATTGCACCAGGAGCTGGGTGGCATGTTGTGTTAGGTATGGTCTGATCTTTCGTATGTTATACAGCGCAAAGCGGCATGAACGAGTAACAGAGGCAACATGATCTTTAAAGGTCAGGTGTTCATCAATCACAACACCCAGATTTTGAACTGCCTTTGAAGGAGCAGGAAGTATAAGGATAGGAAGTCATTTTGGATTGAGATATTGTGCTGTATGTATGGTTTTGCTGGGATGACAAATAGTTCAGTTTTAGAGAGGTTGAGTTGGAGATGGTGGAATTTCATCCATTTTGATATGTCAAAGAGACAGTTTGATATTCGTGCAGAGACAGTGTGGTCGTCCGGTGGAAAGGACAGATGGAGCTGGGTGTCGTCTGCATAGCAGTGGTAGGAGAAGCCATGTGATCGAATGATCTCACCCAGTGAGGTGGTGTATATGGCAAAGAGAAGAGATCCTAGTACAGAGCCCTGGGGGACTCCTGTGTGCAAGATGGTGCACGGTAGAGGATTGTCCAAGCCAAGATACACTGAATGATCATCCTGTGAGGTACGATTCAAACCAGGCATGTGCTTTCTCTGTGATGCCCATGCTAGTGAGTGTGGACAAAAGGAAGCCATAGTTGACAGTGTCAAATGCAGCCGATAAGTCTAGCAGGATAAGCACAGAGGATTTGGCAGTCACTCTAACTTCTTTTAAGGATTCCGTCACTGCTAACAGAGCAGTTTCAGTGGTGTGGCCCTTTTTGAACCCAGATTGGTAAGGGTCAAGCAGACAGTTTTGTGGGGTATTCTGTGATCTGCTTGAAAGCCACCCTTTTAATGATTTATTATTTATTGCAGTTCTAATCTTTTTTTCAATTCACATTGTGAGCTGGACTTTAACCGGAGCTGCTCCTTGTCTTACGACCTTTTGGTTGTGTTCATGGACAGGATCTCAAGGTGTAGTCATGATCTGCTTCTTTGCAGATGATTTGTTGTTGGGATCTTTTTCCTGTCTGTAGGAAATTCTGATCCAGTTCCATGATCTCACTCTGAACTCAACACCAAACCTGAGAGCTCTGCTACCAACCTAACAACATCCTTTACACAATATCAGACTGAATACCACCTTCTTTCCTTATAAGGCCACACACACACACACACACACACACACACACACACACACACACACACACACACACACACACACACACACACACACACAGTGACATTTCATACCATTTCCAGAATACTGCACATACTATAGCCATAAGTTTGCTTCATGGTGCTTCATTATTTATTTCTAGTGTTGTAATAATAACGTAATAGTTAATAATACATAATAAAGTGATAAAACACATGTATTTATGCTCACATTAACTTTGACCATCTCTTTGTAGAAGTCAGAATATTTATCACATGTCACACCTCTCTTGACCATCATTATACCTGGGCCACCTGGTATTTTTAGTTTTCTGGCTGTAAAATTGTAACAAAAAGTGCTAAATATTTGTAACTCTGCTCCTTTTTCCAGAACATCAGCTTTCAGTGTCTGGTTTGTATTTAGTATTTATGTTTATCAAAGTCTGTAAAAATGCAGCTTAAATGTAAAAACACTGGTCTCCGTTGTCTCCATGGCTGCGAGTTTGAGTGACAGCAGGTACAGCTAATCACATGTTAGCATGACGCAGCAGAGCCAATCGGTGAGCTTGTGAGCATGTCTAAGGGAAAACAGGCTTCAGCTTGAGGCGGCTGCCTCTGCATGGTCCTAGTGCCAGACCTGTATCCATGTAGGACCGTTTTGGATGTTAAAATCTGATGGAAAACCGGAAAAGGGGCACTTTGGACAAAAGGGGAAGTTGCTCAAGCACCCCCCACCCCCTTTCACGTGAGATTCTGATGGGTCAAGGTGGAATTCTCCCTCCAGTTTTTGAAGCGAGTTTCTGCTTTAGGTGGAGGAGTATGTCTTAATCTTGAATAATGGTAGAATGGAGCAAAGCATGGGTCATCTTAACAGTGCTTCGTCATCAGTAATGAGAATGTTGCTCTAGTTTGTGGTAAAGAAGGAGCTGATCTGAAAGGCAAATCTGTTGATTTAGTCTGGCTACATTTCAACCTTCTTCTGTGTTGAAAAAACCAAACCTCAGATACAGGAAGCTGGAAAAGGCAAGGAGTTCCTCATCAAAACGAGTCAGCTGAGCTAGTTTAATAACTCCTGGTCAGTTTTATGGACACATTTGTCTGGGAAGAGAAATTGATCCCAACCCAGAACTCAGTAGATGGATTATAGAACCTCTCTAACCTTGTCTGTCCCTATGGAGATGAATGATCTGTTACATCCATGGCTCAGCCATGGATGGATGAATTACTCTTACATGTTTTACATGTTTATTTTTGCAATTTTTGAAGCACATTGTTCTTTATAAATGATAGATTCACCAGTGAGGTGATACTTTGTTGTTGTTTCAATGTGGATCAAACTTTCCTTCTTTTGTGTCTTTTTATGTTTTTCTGTCTATTAGAGCACTTCATTTTTAGAGCAGCCAGAGTGAGAGATGAGCACATGAAGAGCAGAAACAGCGAGCCGACGACATCCTGACAAGTAACCTTACTTCTTCACCCCACCACACACCCGCCAACACCAGAAGTGGGCATCAGCAGGAAGGAAACAAGTGACCCCCTCCTCCAGCAGGCATGGTAATAAGATTCATTGTTTTATAGGTGTGTGTGGAGAGGTGCTACAGTGGATTATCCTTTGTGGAGAAATGACTCATCCAGACTAGAGGGCAGAGAAGTTCAATCAGATAAGTTGTTGTACGAGTGACAACAGATAGTGTGCGTCTTGGACTGAGAAACAGATATGTGATAAGGGCTTGTTCAGGGCAGATAGAGGATGAGCCCATCCATCAAAGGAAGAAGAGCAGGAGGAGAGAACAGGAGAATGGAGGAGAGAAAAGAAGTAAAGAAATTGCAAAATGAAAGAAAAACAGGGGCTGGGGGGGGTAAAAAATGGAGAGAGGTGATCAACAGAAACGGGTGAAGAAAAGATAATTATGATTTCTGGCTAAAGTTTGTCTTGCAACTTTATGCATTTGTCGTCTTCGTCTTCCTCCGCTTATCTGGGTCCGGGTCGCGGGGGCAGCATCCCAACTAGGGAGCTCCAGACCGTCCTCTCCCCGGCCTTCTCCACCAGCTCCTCCGGCAGGACCCCAAGGCAGACCAGATTGGAGATGTAACCTCTCCAACGTGTCCTGGGTCGACCCGGGGGCCTCCTGCCGGCAGGACATGCCCGAAACACCTCCCCAGGGAGGCATCCTGACCAGCTGCCCAAACCACCTCAACTGACTCCTTTTGATTCGGAGGAGCAGCGGTTCTACTCCGAGTTTCGTTTCGTTTTGTTTTATTGAGACCCTCATTAGCTTCTAACTAAGTGCAGATGCTAGTCTTCCTGGGGTCTCATACATTTTCATACAATTGTTTACATAAGATAATACCCTATACACACACATTCACGCATACACATCCCTAATTCACATAATACCAGTAGCTCAAGATGAAATCACATATCTAGATCAAAATTACATATATAAACTAATATCGGGAAAGGAGTTAATCACACCAATAAAGATTGAAAATTAAATCTAACAGAATGGTGACATCATGTCCATTGATTCGTATCATAGTTCATCGATATCCAGTATTCAACCTCAAACCCAGATTCTCAATCCTTCGTTGCAGAGTTCATAGTCACTATACAGTTAAATGTGTAAACAAAAAAATTTTCTGTTTCTTCTGAAAAGAAATGTTATTACTTTCAAAAATTAAAAATCTTGGTAATGCATTCCATGCAAGCATAGCTTTATAGTAAAAAGATCGTTGAATTTGATTTGTTCTACTGCGTGGTAAAACACATTTCATCTCATTTATCTGTCGTGTATTACAAGTATGAGTATCTGAAAAAACAATAATTTGCTATGTATAATTTTTGGTGTTTTTGTAATTATTATTTTCCTCACAGTTGTTACCAAGAAATACTTCAATCTACTCTTCACATCAAGCCAAGCAAGTTTTTCATGCATGGTTCCCACATTCGTTCTGTAAGGGCAGCCTAAAACAATACGAGCAGCTTTATTTTGTGCTACTTGTAGCTTATGCAAATTATTTTCACTTGTACCGGACCAAATAATAGATGCTTGATCTACACAAGAAAGCACTAATGATTGAACAAGGCATTTAAGTAAATATTGTGGTATAAATTTGCAACAAAATTTAATAATGCCCATACCTCTCCCCATTTTGCGTAAAACATAATTAATCTGGCTTGTCCATGATAATTTACAATCAACTATTACTCCCAGTAATTTTACTTCTTCTAGTTGTTCCATTACGTTGTTACTCAGGGTTAAATGTAACTTTGGCATCGTCTGTAAAGTATGTTTGGAGCCAACTACCATGCATTTAGTTTTTCCTTCATTAATCACTAATTTGTTAGCAGTTATCCACTGCTCGACTGTTCTTAACTCTCTATTTAATATTTCATTCAATGCACTCTCCGTATGTGCTGAAGCTAAAACAGTAATGTCGTATGCATATACTGCTGTAGTCGCATGTTGCAGGACCCACGGAAAATCATTCAAAAAATAGAAAACAAAAGAGGTCCCAAACAACTTCCCTGTGGAACACCACATTCCATCAGACCCTTTTCAGAAAAACTGCCATTGAAATAAAATTGATATTCTCTGTCAGTAAGATAACTTTTAGTCCAGTTAAGAGCAGATGTATGAAATCCATAGTGTTTAAGTTTTTTGTAATAAAATATCATGATCTAAAACATCAAAAGCCGCACTTAAATCAAGAAATATAGAACCAATTAGCTTATTATTATCGATATTCTCTAAGCAATAATCAGTTATTCGAATAAGTGCAGTAGTGGTTGAGTGATTTGTTTTGTAAGCATGTTGATATTTTGTGTTCAATTCATTTACCTCAAAATAATCTTGAATTTGGTCATATGCAATTTTTTCTATGATTTTACTTAAAGCTGGTAGCAAACTTATTGGTTGACTGTTTTGACCAGACAGTGGTTCTCTATTGTTCTTAATTAAAGGTATTATTTTAGCTGTTTTCCATTGAGATGGAAAAATACCTTGTTTAAAACTTCCATTCATTATATGAACAATATGACATGAAATAAAATCTACTACTAACTTTAACATTTTATATCAATATTATCTATGCCAGATGGTTTATTTTTACTTTTTAATATTATCTCCTTAACCTTGTCTTCAGTCACTTTATCAAATTGAAATTGGCAGTTTTTATTTAACATTATTTTTTGTTTAATTAGTTGATAGGAAATATTTTTGGTTTGACTATTTTCCATAGAATCTCACAACAACTTAATTTTATTAGTTAAAAACTGGTTTAAATAATTAGCAATTTCTGTTGGTTTAGTGAGATAAGTTCCCCCTACATCCAAAAAAGTTGGAGCTGACCTATTACGCCTACCCATCATTTCATTCAATGTACCCCATAATCTTGCACTATCCGATTTAGCATCAGTTAGTCTTTTTTGATAATACAACCGTTTTTTATGATTATTTAATTTAGTTACAAAGTTTCGTAATCTACAATACTCTTTCGATTTATCTGGACTAGTTTTTACTGCTTCATTTTTAAGTTTATCCCTCTGCTTCATATATTCTTTTAATTCTTCATCCAACCATGGAGCAAATACCCTTCTCACAGCACGTTTCCTTATGGGAACATGTCTGTCTGACACCTTTGTGAACAATTCATTGAAAACTGCTACTGCTTGGCATGGATCATCTTCACTTAAAACCTGTGTCCAACTAATTTTCCTCACATCTTCTATGAAGTCATCTTCATTGAAGTATTTAAACATCCGTCTGCACACAAATAATTGGCCTTTTTTAGGCATCTTTGTTTTCCTTGTTACCGCAATTAAATTATGGTCGCTACAGCCCACTGGAATCGAAACTGCTTTAGAACATAAATTTGCCATATTGGTAAAAATTAAGTAAATCAAAGTTGCGGAAAATTTGCCATTACTTTTCATCTGAGTTCTAGTATCAGCCTGCACGAGTTGTGATAAATTACAAATGTTAGTAAATAAAAACAATTTATTCCTCAATGGACAATTTCCTGATTTCCAGTCTATATTAAAGTCACCTAGAAAAAATTTTCTTCTCTCAGATCGCCTTATCCAACATACCTCCTATCTGATCCAAGTGGTATATAGGAGCATTTGGTGGTCTGTAACAAATTCCAATAATGACAGCTTTTAAATGAGCATAGTGCCTCAACTTCAGTTACCATGAAATCTGTTCTTACTCTAAGTGGAATATGATTTTGAGCATAACAGGCCACACCTCCACCATACAAATTCCTATCTAGTCTATAAATATTATAGCCCCTAACCTCTACTACTTCATTATTAATTGTGTCATCTAAATGTGTTTCTGATATTGCTAACACATGTAAATTATAATTTTGCAAAATTTCTTGAATATCCGCCACCTTATTTCTCAAACTGCACACATTCAAATGAGCTACTTTAAACCCCTTTTCCCGCAACCAAACATGATCTGTCATCCAAAATCTAGAATAAACTCAAACTCAAACCTGCAAAAATCATACTGAGCTTCCTGTAACATTTTTATAATTTTACCAAACACATTCATACTGTCATTCATCTCAAACTCAAACACTGTAATGAAATAAAACATTTTACACGCCAACTCTAGACACATAAATAACCAAATTATATAACTCTTATTATGCGGGCTATCATTTCCATCTTGCGATGTTATTTAATACTTATTTAAAAATTAGACATAATCCTCACATAACCTAAACAGTAATCTCACAGCCCATCTTCACACTCCTTAAACTGTTTTTAATTGGTCCATATTATTCTCCATCCTTCTTCCCTGGTTCAATCACAGTCCTGTAGTAAGCTTCAGCCTCACTCGGTTCATCACTCTTCCTACTGTGTCTCTCCTAGGTCCAATCCAGTGTGCCAACTCCACTTCTGGCTCCCGCATAAGTTTTCCTCTGAACAATTCTTTAAACAGCGTGCCCATATAAGTAGTCAGGTTAGCTTTTCCAATGTCACCAGACAATCCGAACACACGAAGGTTGTATTTGCGGCTCTGCATTTCAAGTCCCTCCCGAATGTCCGAGCTCCTCACCCTATCTCTAAGGCTGAGCCCGGCCACCCTGCGGAGGAAACTCATTTCAGCCACTTGTGTCCGTGATCTCGTTCTTTCGGTCATTACCCAAAGCTCATGACCATAGGTGAGGATTGGGACGTAGATTGACCGGTAAATCGAGAGCCTGGCTTTCTGGCTCAGCTCCCTCTTCACCATGACAGATTGGCTCAGCATCCACATCACTGCAGATGCTGAACCTCGATCTCCCGATCCCTCCTACCTTCACTCGTGAACAAGACCCCGAGATACTTAAACTCCTCCACTTGAGGTAGGACCTCTCTCCCGACCCGGAGTTGGCAAGCCACCCTTTTCCGGTCGAGAACCATGGTCTCAGATTTGGAGGTGCCGATCCTCATCCCAGCCGCTTCACACTCGGCCGCAAACCTACCCAGCAAGAGCTGAAGGTCAGAGCTGGATGAAGCTAGGAGGACCACATCATCCGCAAAAAGCAGAGACGAGATT